GGTAAGAGAAATTTAAGTAGAAAAAGAAATCTATAAAGACGCTCTTAAATACGCTTTAGATAGAAATTAGTTAGAAAANNAAGATNCNTANNNAAANNCTCTAGNNTAGGCCTAGATAAGTATAACCTTATAAAAATAGATTTATTAAACTTATTTAGAGGAAAATATTTCTATACTACTACTATTTTATATTTAAAAGAGTATAGTGTTAGCTTAGAATCTCTAGTTAATACTAGCGCCTAAGAGTGCCTTTTTTTAAATTCTACTATTACCCTTTCTATATTTAGAGCTCTCTAGATACCTATCTAAAGACTGCCTTTTAAAATTATAGTTAAAGAATTCTATAATTAGATATAGACCTAGATAGATAAATATATTTAGGTATATGTGTGAGAGTGGAACTGCATTAGGAAGTAGTTGCTTCTTAATCAGGAAATGGAGGCTCGCTTGGCTACTCGCTGCTTTTATTTGGTCTGTGCGCTGACCCCATCAGATATAAACACGCTTCCCTCGCCGTTCTACTTAGCTCCCACTATCGTCCCTTTCCTTCCTCCACTTCACTTCCTCCTATTAGTCGCTCGGACTAAATCTTTGAGGCATTTTCGTACCCTTGGAAATTATGCAATCGCTGCACTGCCTGGCTGTCTTACCCACCCTACCCCCTCCTTTGGGATCCACGATTATGCCTCTGCGCTGTGTTCTTTGCCAGACCCTCTTAACATGTTTTCTCGACTACCCTACGAGCAGCTCTGTCTCTACCTGAAATTTGACCACTCTAACTCTCTCGCCCGTCTTATGGTGGGAAGTCTTTGTATTAGGGCTTTTATAAATAGTTTGTAATTATTCCTTAACTTTTACCCTCTCGAAAGCGAACGTCCTTCCTAGTCTCCTTATTCTTGATCTTCTACGTTACCGATTACACGGATTAGCAAAAAAGGGGCTTTGGACTCCCTGATTACGTCTTAACACGAGGCGCTAAGCTGGTAAAACTTCAGCTATATACCTAGCGAGGTTACATTAGTATATAGCCTTGCAGAAATAATTAGACTTGAACCGTCTAAGTGTTACCGCGAACCTAGTTTCATTCAAAATTTTCGCCAGAAATGCCGTAGCTAGAGTCTGACCCGCTACTTAGCTATGTAGATAGTGGTTAGGCATGTACTTCCCGAGATTGCGCCGTAATATAGATTGGTAAAGCCTGGGTCTATGTGACTGCCTGCATGATGGCGATATCCTATTCCGGCGTTATATATTAGGGGTACTGAAGGCTAGAGCGAGCGTTTAGCACAGCTTGGGCACTAACCTCTCTGTACTGTGTGGCTTACGCCGCCCAAAGCCTGACGTCTAGAGTCTGTATACGGGTTTGAGCCCGTATTTAGGTTTCGGAGTGGCCGACGAGCTGAAAAACGCGGGTTGGAATTTCCTTGCTGAGTAGACGGGCTCTGATAGGAAAGGGGCAGGACCTGTAATACAGCCTAAAGCTTAGGAATGCATTATACTTCCTTATTTTTAGTACGATTGTTGGTAGGAGATTTGCTCACGTTTCTATTTAAGAAGAAAGGGGCTTTATGCGAAGGCTTTATTGCCGCCGACACTTCGCAGTCGCATGATATATTTGGGTACACGACGCGAAGCTGATTTGACTCTAGTCTGATATGCCGCTGGCAAGGGTACGCAGTTTCGAGCACGGTCTTGTACGGGCTGCTGCCTGATGGGCGCTAAATGCTATTCTAGAGGGCTCTCCAAAAGGATTTATATAATAAGAGAAACCTTAACGTGGTATCTTTACTTATTTAAACCTCTGCGTCTCCTCTCTCCTTGTAGCACTAGTACGTCCTCGAGCCACAATAGCAGCGATGGCATTGCCCTCTGACACTTTTTCCATACCTTACGCACAAGGTTCTCTTTAAATAATATAGTATAGTGGGCCTCTAAAGCCTAAGCAAACCTCTCTTCGGAACCCCTTAAAGGCCCTGTCAAACAAATACACTCTAAAATTGAACACTTAACTGGAGAATAAAGAGGATCTTATACTAACGTTGGACGAAGTCGAAGTCATTGATTTGATATATTTAGGTAGGCATCCCTCTAGCTGGCGTAGCTATACTGTGTTTATTCTAGTGTTCTATAACGACTAACACAACCATATTTGGAAAAGACAACAGCAATATCAGCGGTAGCAGAGGTAGAGGAGATAGTAGTATTAGCAGTTGCGACGATTTTGCGCCCCAGGACGAAAGTGAAGGCGAAGAGTTTAAGCGAAACTTAGGAGAAGGCACAGAGAAGGAGAGCTCAACCCAGCCAGCTCCTTCTAAAAACGTTAGGCAAGGCAAGTTCCGGAGTGCGATCGTGATAGTGGCTCTCGCACACCATTTCTGACATTACGTAGAAAATACGGTCGTTATAAAAGACAGTCAGCCCATTGTAGATACAGACGAGGGCGACTCGCACGAAAATAATGCAGGTACGCAGATAGGCAATAGGCTTAAAGTTTCGAGCATCACAACCCCTGATCTTCGCGGCGGGGAGTGTCCTATAGAAACAGAGAATGTCATCGACTCCGATGCGGTTAGAAAAGAAAAGACTCAAATGAGTGGGTTCCCGCGTCGCAAATTTCCATCGACGCCAACGAGCTCGTCGAAGATGAATATCGAACAGTCAACGCAAGGCAGCCCTCCTACAATTAAAAATACGAGTAGTAGTAGTAGCAGCGATACCGATGACGATCACTATGATCGCGGTAATTAGACTGCGTGGCTGACCCGCAAGCGGAAACGCTTCTCGCCAACTAAGCGGCACATTCGATCGTCAAACATAACATCGAAGCAGCGCCTCAAACACAACGTGCGCCCAGCGAAGCAGCGAAGGCTACTCCCCTCCGGTGGCAGGCAGTTCTCTAACCGTCCTTTGGCCCTGAAACCTCTTTCAGGACCACCGTGCAGCGGATACGATGCCAAAATCTGCTACAGCAATGACAGCAGCAATGACAGCAGTAAACATCGCTCGCACCAGCATAAGCGGAAGCGCATGCAGGACACTGCGAATGACGATGACGACGACGACGACGAAGAATATGAGGTAGAGAAGATTCTCAATGCCCGTGTCCATCGTAGAAAGCTACAGTACCGTGTCAAATGGCTAGGATATAAGAAGGATCCAGAGTAGTACAATGCGTCTAACTTCAAGAATAGCCCGTACAGACTTAGAGATTTTCATGCGGCCAATCCTTTTCACCCAGGCCCTCCAAGAAGGTTGGAGATGTGGGTACAGTGCTGGGAGAAGGACAGAGATGCGGGAAATCATCCTGATGATAATAAGCCTGAAGAACTAAACAACTAGGTGGCATACTGTTGGCGGACTGGCGTATCGGACTCAGGGTCGTTCTATTTTCTTGTTTCTCCTCACTACTAAGTTAGTGCAACCTTAGGTTTTCCTCATCTTGCTATTACTATGCAATCATGGATTACCTCCGTCAGCTTAGCATTTTCTGTTTACTTGAGAAAGGTGGAGATGAGGATATAATGCATGCTAGCCCTATCCACCAGCCCACCGTTGTAGCAGCGCTTACCACTAAGCGAGAGGCGCTAAGCGTGTGATCAACGGTTTGCTTGTTCACAGAAACCGAAATCTGCAAGTGCATGAGAGTGTACGGATAAGTTCGTTCGAGATCCATCACTCAGTTTTGCGTATATGCTCATTTAGGAAGCGCAAGCTGCTTAACTAGGTGCTCTAGAGAGCTGCTTACACCAATAGAAGAAGTTTCACAACTAGAGTTGTCAACACACAAGCTCATCAAATCGACCTAACGTGATATGGTAATAGGCTAGCTTTTTAAGGCCTAATCATCACGATATCGCGTTAGCTCGGCTTGATGAGCTTGATCGTTGACAATTCTGTTCACAACAGCTAGTGAGACTGATGCACCACTTGGGATGTTGGAATCAAAATCGACCCGTGTGGTCTTTGCCGTGTCGCTCGTCCTTACGACGAGTCCTCGGTCTAGACCTGCACCATTTCTTACATTAAGCTAAGAAAGAGGAGTGACGTGTGTTGCCATAAATACGTTGTCGCCCTAATTAGCATCCCAAGTGGTGCGGGTACACGTCTTATTCTATTTTAGTAAGCCCTTTATCGGGACCAGAAGAAATCCTTGTTATATAATGTCCGTCCCCACGTGCCGGGACGCACAGTGTAACGAGACAGTTTTCGCTTCGGAGCCTCGCTTTCTCTGATCTGTATGGAGATCGACCTATAGTCGGCGTGTTAATGTTCCAGAGCTGGTTTTCTCCTAGGGCATCAACCCCGGCACTAGTTTTCGCGATGTTGCCCCTGCTGTCGATCATCTCGTCAACGCTGTCAATAGACTTTTTGTCACTATACCCCTGTCTATTCATAATATAGAAGGTTCCTGAAAAGATCGGACGGTCTGTTAGAAATTGGATTTCAGAAAGAATAGATACCCAAGATCCAAAGGGTATTTCAGCCTAACAAGTATACAGTCCGGCAGTTTCGCCGATGAAAACGATGATCGCCAAAAGCATGCCAGCGCACCGAAATCCACTAGCGTCTCTTGTCATGTAGATTGCCTGTAGTAGCGTGCTCAGATGTTGCTGTATGCTATCGTAAAGAATTCAACACTATGCCTGTATAGATCAGCTGCTAAGAATAGTCGTAGCGCATGCCGGCGGCTTTCTGGAAGCCTCTACGGCCAGGTGCTCAGCCTCGCTGTTGTAGCGCGACCTTGGCCGCCGTTTGCGCTGCCTAATATGCCTCAGTGTGTGCACTCTACTACCTCTACTCTTCCGCCTGCCGTACCCAAATCTCGTTGTGCTCTTGCGGACCATGGCGAGGTTCCTCGCTCTACCCTTCATGCTCGTGTCTAAGGCCGCCGCTCGACAAAAGAGACGGCCCAGAGTCAACAAATATCTCAGCTCGTGGGAAGAGGATGCGCTTTTTCAGTTTCTTCTATAGATATATGATCGAACAAGAACCGGGCGATACCGTTGCCAGACCAGGAATACACATAACACGCTCTTTTCAGTTCGCGCCTCGCAGAACGCAGTTCTATAGTTAACACGTTTAGAGTCGCAAGGCTATCTATTACCTTCCTCTTACATTGACCTGTAAAGTACACAATACAATTATTGCACTCTCTTTATACTAGGCTGTCACTCCAGGCCTCTCAGGTTTCGTTACTACCGCAAGCCTACCACACATCCACACGAGTTGATGCGTCATCTAAAGCACCAAGACGATGGTTGCATTACGACTACCAGCTTCGGTGATGACGGAACGCCCTTTATGTGACAGTTTTGAACACTAGAGGAGCAGATGTAGACGAGATGACGTTCGCGTACCTTGCGAGAAGCAGCGACAAACATCAGCGTGGTTAAAAGAAGATTCACTTACATTGAGAGCAAGCGCAGCAAGATAGGCTGCAGTTATTAAGTCAAAAAATTGCCTTCTCTATAAACAGAGCTCCTTCCTCCTATACGCTATGTAATAGCTATATTTATAAGCTATGCAGACCTTTATTATGTAATTACTATTCATACCCGCTTGCAATCATGGTGTTATTTCTGTTACACCCAATGCACTTACCAGAGCTACGGCTAAGATCTAGTTAGATCTTAGATATCTATATCCATCCATTCTGTACGCTGTGTGCTCATGAGAAGATCCATTTCATTCTCTCTACACAAGCTGACATACGAAAAGCTAAACAGTAAAAGTTTTACACTCTTTCGTTGGTCGCTTTCTCTATATTTCAGACATCATAGCAACTAAGTACCGTCAATACCAACATCGGCAAAGCGACGATGAAGCTTCCAGCGCCGAAGATTACCTCCCAGCTGCCCCAGAAAAGTTTTCCTCCGGTTAATACAGAAAAGAGGATACCTAGAAATGCATAGAGGCATTTTCTAGGACACCATGCAGTCTCAACGTACAAGCCACCTAATTCTAGGTATCTGTTCTGCGGTCGGAAATCGTTGACTAAGAAATTGATGTTCCTAGTAATATTGACGTTAGTCGGATCTCATAGTATATGTATTTGAGACTTACCTATAGTGATGGATAAATTAATGGTTACTGAGGCCATTGAGTATATTTTGAGAGCTTGCACCGGCTGGATTGCGGAAGTAACAAGAAAGGAAAGGCGCGGTTTTAATCCAACGTATCTAATCTTTGCAACTGTACCATTCCTAGAAAGGACAGGTTAAAACACCAGAGAGCTTTGAAGAGTTAGTTAGGCAATCACTGTTGGAATGGTGGTATTCCCCAGAGCTGTCGCGATAGCAGTCATGCGGAAAAGCGGTCGAATCGAAGTCTATTATCAATTCGATAGCTTTCATTGCTTCTCCCTGTTGCTCAGAGTAGCTCTTGTGCAAGCTGTCTAGGTCTAAAGGTTCAACGAAGGCTAAGAACCTTTTTGAAGGACGGCAGATCAACCAGAACTATGTCTAATCTTAGCATAAGTAGGCATGCTATAAGACGGTGGGAATATACAGTAACGGGCTTAAGTCTAGTGATTTTTCAGAAGGAAAAGTACCTTCGTAGGAGGCCAAGTTCTTCATCATACTTCTTCTTTAATGACTTAAAGATGTCATACTCATCTTCAACGTCGGTAATTAGAACGTCTACAGCCCAGGTTTTGAAGCTTTCAGAGTGTTCAGAACCCCACAGCAAGAACACACAGCTCGCACCATCTTTCTTCTCAGTTTCCTCCTGGAAGTAAGTAAAGATAGAGTCTTTGGGCAAGTTGGACGGCTCTAATAAAGACGGCTTCTGTAAAACTTCGTGCATAGCCTGTTACCATTTTCTTTCCTTGGATTTCTTTAGGTTATTGTGTAGAACAGGTTGGAATCCGGTCGCTCCCACAGCGATTTCTTCCGAGTGTTCAACACGGGCTCTTTCCAGTCGTGATGGAAGATCTACTAGCGGTGATAACATAGAGTAAATCAGGGTTGATAAAGACGATTATAGATAAAGAAATTCTTGTAAATAAGCAACGTTACAAAACATAGGAACTTATACAAATGTTAATTAGGCAGAACTGCTCCCTAAGGCTGCTACTGTTGTTCCAGCGCAACAGATCTAGGCAGACGCACTGCCCGTCTGTGGCGGAGTAAGACTAATTTTGGCATAATCTATAGCGCATCAATTGATTGGTCTATTTTTTTATTATCTCTATCTTTTAGACGTGGGTGGGATATGTATAGGTATTTAGGCTATCTTTGCAGCATACAAAGTTTGAGAATCACTGCTACTTAGTAGATCCTAAGCGTTATATTCACGTTGCTTGTAGGGTTAACTATTGCGAGCAGATTCAATAACTTCACTCTCTGAGTGACGCAAAATCCGGTGGGCCGGAACCAGCCAATCAAACACATCGCCGTGCCATGATGTCTGCTGCCTCTGTGCTCTTATTGGCGGATTCCGGTCCACCCGGTTTTCCGTGTACAGGGAGGGATGTTAACTATATGGTTAGTTAGCTAATCATAAACGCTCAACTACGAAGAGCTGTTGGCATGCGCCACAACTGTGTTTGGCAGCTTCTGTTATGGGCATAGTGTCAAATTTGTTACAGTTGAACAGATATATCTGAGCACGCTACTGCAGGCTGCCTGCATGCCAAGTGCTACTAACAGCGCATGTCTTAGAGGACGCGTTTTGACGATCTTGCTAACTACGCGGAGAAACTGCCGGGATGTATACTTGTTGCTCTAAATCGACCTTTTAAGACTGCAGTCTTGATCTTTGCTATTCCAGCTTTCTTCCTAGCCTACCGAGCTGTTCGGAGAAGTGTACAATCACGGAGGAGCAAGGGGTGTTAGAAGAGAGTTATTCGACAGCATCAATAGAACGAGCGATAGCACGGTTAACAACGCGCTTTTTAGCATCGGTAGCCGATATGCTAAAAGAGCAAGAGCTCTAGAGTATATGCGCACTGCGCTTGTCTATATACAAGCACGTTGCGGACAGTCCGAGGGTCCGGAAGAGAAAGTGTCCCGTTACACCGTGCGTCCCGGCACATGGGGATGGACGTTAGCATTCATCTACGGGATTACCTTCTTGTTATGAAGGTCGTACCAGTCCATAAGCGTAGTATTTTGTACTAGTACGGCGTTTGTATCAGTCCAACGCTTGTACTAGTTCATAAGCGTGTTATTTTGTACCAGTCCAGTCAGCGTACCCTTACATCCCCCGTACCAGTTCACAAGGGCGCTATTTTGTATCAGTACGACGCTCGTACCAGTCCATAAGCGTGCCACTTTGTATTAGTAGGACGCTCGTAGCTCGGTGGGCTGGAAAGAATGCGAAGATAGCAAAGATCAAGACGAACGTCCGTCCCTGTGGGTCGAACATCCCTCCGCAACGAACCGCCAACATTGCTTAACTAGTTAACTGGTTAAGTACGACCCGCGCACCTGGCTTAAAGCAGCTTAGCTGTGATCTATCGTTGCTGACGCTAGGACCGTGGCTGTGTGACTGTGCAGCGCTTTGCCAAGCGCTCTAGGATAGGAGCTAAGTTAGTTAAAGGCCCTGGAGCTCCAGGACAAAAGCCTAACCTAACCGTGACTGTCTGATAGATATCGGCCCACATAGGCACCCCCGGAAATGAGGCCACCGACCAGGCCGCCAAGGAGGCAACTGGATGGAGAGAGGACCGCCGCAGCCAGCTACCAGCAAACCCGCCCCTCGCAGCTGTACCCGCTCAGAACGCTCAGAACAACGCTCAGAAGGCGGTGCAAGACACAGGCAGAAAGGGCGTGGGTCAGCGCATGGAAGACAAGACAGGCCGCGGGACATACAGACACATGCTGACGCTCACCGAGAAAGTGCTGCAGCTCCACGAAAGGCTTAGCAAAAGGGAAAGCGTGCTGCTAGTACAGCTGCGAACCGAGAAGGTAGGTCTGAATGACTTCTTCTTCAGCCGACACGTCCCGACCGTTACCAGTCTCCGCTGCAGTTATGGAGAGAGACAGCAAACCGTCGCCCACTTCCTCCTGCACTGTAGCAGGCATAAGGACCTCCGGAACCGCATCTTCGCCAACCCATCCGGACGAAACAGCCTTAGAACGATTCTGAGCACGCCCCAGCTAGTCATCAAAGCTATTGGGTACTTATATGGAACAGACGCAAATCCTTCGGCAGGTGGGGGTCAGAGATGAGTAGACGACGCCGAGCGCTGGGGCGAGTTTGTAGGTATAGCGGACACGACAAACGAGGCAGCGGGGCTCTACGAGCCTAGAAACACAGCATTCAATTAGTAGAACCCCTGTCTCGATAGCCTGGCAAAGGACGTGTAAATAGTGGTTGAGGAAAAACGGCAAGCCTCTGGGGGCAGATGGTCCTTTTGGGATGAAATGGGGTGGTGTGGATGTTGATCCGCACCGCGTCCGCCGTTTGCCGCGCCTGTCACTCCGGGCACAGCAGCGCCGCACGCAGCTGAAACCGAGTAGGAGTCAATTAATACATAAATAAATTTGTTGAAGAGATGAACTATTCCAAATTGACCACAACGAGTATAATAATGAAAGCCATCCGTCCTTTATATCCATTGCAATCTGTGCTGTCCTCCCTGGGATCCAATCATATACTCACTTCCCGGATGCTATGATTTGGCGGGATGTCGAGTCACTTGATCTGCGCCCTGTGGAGATCACTAACGTCTAACGTGAACGCCCCATGGCCTCTTCCAATGCAGCCTGCATCAAGGAGAGATCATTGTTACTTGTAACAGAGAACTCCTATTCGTATCAAATACGTAGATTATTACGCTTAAAGGCAGCAAGGAGTATAAAGAAGGTAGGCGGCTTAAGAAGCCAGAGCTCCCAGAGATTAACCTAAGTTAGGAATAGCCCATGAATGCTTGCTGGCCAAGTCAGGCAGGGACTTTTGAAGGGCACCTTTGTACCGGTGGGTAAATTGGATGGTGGGGTGCGCATTACGTGTCCCACGCATTGCTTGTCCGTGCACTGTACCTGTAGAAAAAGCCCCCACAGCGTGCGCAATTGCCTCCACCTGGAACTACCTGCCGAGGGCGCCATGTTAATGCCCCAAAGAAACTTGTGTATTGAAAGTTGATCGCAAGGTTATAAACGCTTTTTTCATGCCCCGCACTCGCGTTACCTTGGCATTACACTGCTAACGGGCTCGACTCCTTCCACCTCGACAATCTTGGAGATGACGGCTTCAGCCGCTTGTGACAACATGGCGCTCTCTAGATCACAGTGAGTTCTTCCAATGTGGGCGACCGTGTTTGGCCGGGGACGTGTTCGTCTCTAACATTTACATAAGAACAGCGAAGCTGTTACCCGAGGGCAATGTATCCGCTACGATTTTTCCGCCAATCCGGGCTTGCATTTTCGACATAGACGGACTCCTCATCAACTCTAAAGATATTATTACTCTTTGCACGAACCGACTTCTCGAAAAGTACGGCAGGCCTGCCTTTACTCGGTCGATTCGAGTCCAGCTCATAGGCATCCCGGACTCAACAAATGGCGACATATTCCACAATTAGGCCAAGCTGCCTATTCCGCGCGAGCAGTTTGCTCAAGAGTTGAGGGAGCAAATGTAAGCTCAGTTCCAGAGCTGCGAACCGTTGCCTAGTGCGAATAAGCTTCTTTCCGATCTTAGTCATACGCGAAATTCCTCAGGAGACAAAATCAAATTAGCGCTGGCATCTAGCAGTAAGAGCCATAGCTTTAGATTGAAAACTTTATAACTAGAGACGAAGCAGTTGTTAGATTTCTTCGAGCCAAAGCAGCGGATTCTAGGCGACGATGCACAACTGCGAAAGGGTCGAGGGAAGCCGGCCCCTAACATATACCTAATTGCGTTGTAATTATTGAACTCGGCAAATGACGCGGAAGATACCATCAAGCCTAACGAGTGTTTGGTATTTGAAGATAGTGTAACGGGAGTAGAGGCCGGAAGACGCGCGGGGATAAGAGTCATTTGGGTTCCGCATTAAGACGTGGCGGCTGAGTATGGAAGCAAGCAAGAATAAGTGTTGGCTGGGAGAATGGGGATGAATGCGCTTGGAGATGATTGGCAATTAGGGGAAATTGATGACGGCTGGGCTGAGTGTATATCTAGTCTGGAAGAATTTAACCCTCAAAAATATGGTCTTGAGATTGTATAATCTATATAGACAAATAGGACTTATCATCGAGCCCAAAAAGCAACGATCTTGTCAAAATCTTCCGTGGTTAAGCTATTCATATCTCGATCCTCTTGAGTTATTTCCTTTCTCAAGCGGCATGCAACTCTAAAGGCAATGGACGCCTTTTAACTTCTACCTGTTACTTCAAACAAGCGGCCCTTAAGGAAGGTTGTACGAGCAATCTCGTTCTTGTGTGCACTTAGGTCAACAGACCAGATATCCAGCGCCATATTGGCCATAGTACTAAGAAACAGTTAGATTAAATCTCACATATGCTTTTGAAATAGCAACACTTACATCGATTCTTCACTTCGGCCCAAGCGGAGCAGGTACTCCGCAATTTTGTAAGCGACATTCGCAGTGTAGAAATCCTTCTCACCAACCGTCGCGCGCATGTGGCGCATTACTCGCTAATAAAACTCAAAACTCTCATCCAATCGATTCTAAGCAGCACGAAGGTTACCAATTGCATACAGAACCAGTCCTATTCTAACAGACTCCCTATCGTCTTTGCCTAACGCCCTTTCTCTACCCGCAAGAGTTTCCGAAAGAAGCTCGTCACACTCTTCCAGCTTTCCTTATGCAAGAAGGGACCAGCTCAGGTTAACCTCGCCAGACCGGGGGACGTAGTTACCAAGAGCTATACGAATCCGTAGTGCTTCCCTGAGATCAGCCTCACCTTCTTCGTACCTTTTATCCTAAATGCGTAAGATGCCACGCTCTGCGTATGCAAGATACAATCTCTCGTCAGCAGTTCCCAGTTCTTTGCAAATGTTAGAAACCAGAGCGAAAGACAATTCTTTACAAACGCGACTTTTATCGAAGTCGCTTACGTCCATAGAGATAGCTCCTAGGCAGAAATATATGTCTGCAAGCAGGGAATCCCGATTAGAGTATACAGAGGATTCGCAGATGCTGCGAGCAGTCTCAAAGAAGCCATCAAAATCCTTTGTTCTACCGCGTTCTTTCTGATACCTGGCCAGGTTAGATCAAGCAGCAAAGAGCTTGCATATCCTCTACGTACCATGCAGCCTCGTTCAACAACTTTGCAAAATGTAATTTGGTGGCGTCTAAGAGATCTGATATTGTTGACCAGAGCTGATGTATCCTTAGAACGTAAGGATATATCGCCGCACAAACAGGCCACCTCCCAACATGTAGTCTGCCACCACTTAATTTAGGCTGAGGCAATTCTGGCTCTTTTAATGGCTTGGGCATAGCCGATGGCCAGTCCGCCCAAAGAGTTCGTACAATCAGATTAAACATAGATCGCTTCTTGAACTCGTCCATCGTTGTCATGATCACTTCCTGTACGATGCGATGGACTGATAACTACTGTCTTTGCTTGTCTCTTTGAACAAGCGATGACTGTAAGAGATCAGTCCGAGCCTCAATATAAGCACTCTTCCTGAACTGCGCGCCATCCGAAAGTAACGTAACTGATGCTTCAATCAACAGATCCTCTCCAATAAAATCCGGGTCGAGAAACGAAATCAGTTCCAACAGCTGCCGCGCATGAGGCTTTAGTTTCTCAAATGCCCAAACAGTGGACAGAGAGTAAGAATATGTGATTAAGTTAGCATCGAACTTTGTCTCATAAAGATTGGAATGTTCTTCATGATCTGTATACAGCTCAAGAAATTCAGGCAAGATCAAGTCCTGTCGGCAAATGACTCCTGCCATCTGTAAGATAGCTAAAGGCACACCGCCTAGTGCTTCGCAGATTTTGTTCGCAGTGTTGGCCTCGGATTCGTTGGAAATGGGTGTAAGATGGTTGAATAGCGACAAACTATCCTGTTGTGTCAATGGTCCGAGATCTAATCCTAATGTCCTTCCTGTAAATATGCGTTTAGCCAATGGATCACGGCTAGTGATAAGAATTGATCCACTGCCCTGAGGCCAGTAGTCCGCTAGGATCATTGGATCGTCTGCGTTATCAAACACAAGCAACCAAGTCGCTTCTAACCTCGCTTGATCGGGCTGACCAAGCTCATCGTACCCAGATAGCTGCTTTTAAGGATTAGAGAGCCACCCTTTTACGATCTCTCTACTGACAACCTGGCTCTTACACTCCGATGGGTCTTCGAGTCCTAATGCCAGCGATATTTGCTGGTAGTGATGGTCGAGTTTTGCAATCTCGTCTGCTGTTACCTAAAACACTGCATTAAAGGCAGCTCTATGTTGGCAGCAGAATTCACGAGCTATTTCAGTCTTCCCAATTCCTCCAAATCCACAAATTACAAACTGCTGTAGAGCCGTGCCTAACGCTGTCACTATACTCTTCGAAGGCAAGAGCTCAGCCGCAAGACATGCCAAGATGTCCTTACGGCCGTAGAAGTTCTCATTTTTCAGATTTATGTTGAGTAATACGCAAGGTAGATGGACAAATTTTTTCGGTTCGGTGTTCGGGGCTGCGGAATGAACCAACTCAAACCCCAAAGGTGTAGTCCCTTTTGTTGCTCTATTCGAAGGCCATTCCGTGGCTGTATTAGAAGGGTTTTCGGAGAGATCTAGGTGCTCGACTAATTATCGTTAACGTTGAGTGGTAAGTAAGCTTAGTTATCAACCTCACTTTGAAGTAGTGTTTCGCTAATCGTAGGCGAGTAAGCGCTCATTATTGCGTACTAGTAATCCTCTTGAACCATTAGCGTCGTACTAGAGCTCGCCGAGATCTTCTTAACCTACGTTCTCTCAGCCGAAGTGCAACAAGCTGCACAGCATCTACCGAGACTTTGTGCACAAACTCATTCAACTCCTGTAAGCCTTCACTACCGACGCTTTCAGTAAAAACACATGTATTATAATGGTCGAGGTTTAAGCCAACGACGGTTTCCATTAGAGAATGAGTTAAACAGACTTCACGGTTAACCAACTAAAAGCCTAGGTTAGTATCAGGACGTAATCAAGGACTCGGGACACTAACCTGTTAGTACTTTGAACGCAGGGGCGTTGAACTAATTCTAGACTCTCTCAGCTTATAGGCAGATAGCATAGGTGTGCGAAGTGAGATTCCTTCGAATCTATCTGCAAGGTCGAGCAGAATAGCACCTTCTCGCTCAATAATAGCGTTTATAACCTTTGATCCTCTGCCTATTATTAATTCCAAGATTTCGCGGAAATATACCGCGCATGCAGTTTTGTCAGCATAGCAGTGCGGAGTGCTTAGAAAGATGATACCAGCTAAAGCATTAACGATTAACCCATAACGATAGAACTGTTTGTTAGCGATACATAAAGCTTGTTTGACTATGATTCCTCCCAGGCTATAGCAGACTATCACCATTGGCTTGCTGTCAGTCTGGAAGAGGAATGTTAGTAAACGTGCTAGTAGTTTAAAAAAAAGAACTGTCCTGTGCTCAGCTACTTATAAGATGTGTATCTAACTTCGATCTTACATCGCTCAAACATTAGAGAAAATCGTAACCCAGCATTAGAATTGACTCCCAAGAGAATCTAATGTCTAGAAATAGCGAATTGTATTCATATACAAGGATACGCGCCCTAGAACCAGGCTTAGGGAGAGTGGCGAGCCAATTCTAGTTAGCAAATGACCAGTTCTCTAGTAGGATGGTTCCAATGCCAGGAACAAGAACGACGCTGAGCTTGGGTGTAAGTAGTAGAACTAAGCTAATGCCTCTGTAGGGATCTATCTCACTCAATGCACTCCTAAGAGGCGTTGGCCGGATCCCGCAAGACATAGAGGCGGCCAGTGGCCATAGAATTCGCTGCCGTCGCCATCAAACTAGGTGGGTGAAGAGTAGAATATCCCGAGGTACCAAAGGAACAATATCAGCTTAGTGAGCTGTTGGTGGTGGATAGTTAGTGGCGTATCATTTCAAGATTAGTAGTGCGGGACACAGCGCTTAAATAGATGAGGGGCATGCTGCATAGATGCCTGCACCTTGCATTAGCCTTCTATGACAGCTAATGTGCGGGACCAGTAAGCTGCCCCCCCAAGCTTAACACGACAAAATTCTTGTGAACGTAAAATAAGTCTTACTAGTTATAGCATCCTATCAAAATAATCCAAATAGTGCGCACACTTACAGCAGTATATAATGTCCCAGAACCAACACTACGAACGCGCCTCCACGATACACAGCTACGATCAGAGCTACGATCTGTCAACCGTACACTATCCCTTATCAAAGAGCAGTCTCTCATGCAGTAGATCCTAGACCTTACCAACGTGCAACCGATGGCAGACATTCTGCCCACTGCGCGTAGCCAAGATCCACCTCCACGACCTATTAATAGGAAATGGGTGTCGCGCTTCGTTAATAGCCAGTCTGAGCTTCAGAAAAAGAAGAGCAGAAGCTTTCATAGCCATCACGCTTACTGTAAGGATCTAGCTATAATAGCAGCGTGGTTCAAGCTTGTAGAGGAGACGTGCCAGACGTACGGCGTTCTAGAGCAAAACGTCTATAACTTTAATAAGACTAGCTTTATGATAGGTGTAGCTAGCACGTCAAAAGTAGTCATTAGCGCAAACAGAGTCAGTCGAGCAGTCGCCGTACAACCAGGTAACCACGAGTGAGTAACGACGATTAAGTATATTAACGCGCCTAGCTGGTCGCTGCCACCGTTCGTAATCCTATCTAGTAAGCAGCACCAGGCTAGCTGTTACAGTGACCACCCTACAGACTGGACTTTCGCAGTATCAGACAATAGCTAGACAACAGATACGCTTAGCGTAGAGTGGGTAAAGCATTTCAACCAGTGTACAGTGGCTCGTATAGCTAGGGCGTATCGTCTCCTAATCCTAGACAGCCACAGCGGCCACGCTACGCCAGCGTTTAACACGTACTGCAAGAAGAACAAGATCATCACTCTCTACATGCCACCTCACATCTTCTCACTACTCAATCGTGTGTACGGACGTGAGATTGAGGAGCTTATGCACCAGGGCGTCTACCACGTTGAGAGTAGACTCCCTCACAATCTATACACGGATCCGGCTAGTTGTATCTACATAGCAGAACATCCAGTTAAGCTTCCAGATAGCTAGGCTTTTTCCTCCGTATTCAGATTTCATCCTATCGTCGCTTACAGTCGTCCGGACGCCGTCTCCGCTACAGACAACTACAGATAATAACATCGCAACGCAGACAGGAAAACCACATACAGTAGCGCAGCTTCAGCATTAAGTACACTATCTCCAAAAGTGGCCATGCCGATACTCAAAGAGCCTGACAAGCGCTGCTATACGCCAGCTTACCAAAAGCGTTCAGCTTACAATGAACTCAGCGACTATACTCGCAGAAAAGAATAGAAAGCTATCTACATTTATTCAGCGCCAGGAACGTAAGAGAGACCAGCGACGTCACTATATAGCATGTGGAGGTACTCTCCAAGTCCAGCAGGGCCAGAAGCTAGCCGTAGACGCAGAAAGGGTAGTAACTAGTAGGGCCGGAGCAGAGCCAGGTTATGTGAGAGATGTCAATGCGCGCCGCCAACGTGCACGAAGCGTCACATTTAAAGACGTACGTAGACCTCATGTAACTAGAGCTAGACAACTAATTCTATTTTTAGATTCTATCAAATTTCATTACATAGTAGTAGAGCTATTTTGCAGAGCATTGGGTCGAGTTTAGTGGGGTGCGCAGCTTACTAGTAGAATACGTTAGAGGCGGTGCCACCTATGTTTGCGTCTTTCTTTTACAGGTGTACTATCACTACATAGCCTAACTATTAAGAATAAGCTTAACTATAGGCTCACAGGAAAATGTGTTCAAATAATGTAACTCAGATCCTTGTTGCTTTTCTCCGCCGTCTTATTCCGTCTCACACAGCGGCGATCTTTCCAGAATCTCACCCAACACCGCTTCAGAAACTGAAAGTCCCACAAATAAAGCACGTAGGCAGACAAAGTAATTAGGACATATAGGACAAAGAACCACCAAAATCGCACGCCGTTCTGTCC